CAACGAGGACCAGAAAGTTGCCCTCGACCTCGACCCATACGTCAAGAAGCTGCTCAACGCCCGGCGCAGGGTCGTCCTGGTGAACAACATCCTGCAGAATGCGCAGGTGCACTGGCAGGGCTGGCTTGCAGCCCGGGGATGATGGGGTTTGTAGTCTAGCAGAACCGAAAGGCGCCTGCTTTAGGGACGCAGACTGGAGCGGTTCCTGTGGTTGGTTAACTGCCCCCTTCAACTAGGGGTATTTAGAGGCTTTGCTCGTGGGGGGGCTTTTTGAAGCTCCCCTTTCCGGCTGTCTTCTGAAGCGATGGAGCAAGAACTCGAGTGACTTCGTAAAGGACTAGCAACTTAGCTGAGGGCTTTAACGAAGCCGCTGGAAGCCGAGCAGTTGCGTCGAAGTGCTCTGCTAAGTTGCTAGTCCTCTGTGATGTGAAGGGAGTGAAGTTTGAGGGAAGTCCCCAGACCATTCCTCAAGTTCTTGCACGGTTATTTCCATCCATCGCTTCGAGGGCTGAACGTTTTAAGTAAGCCGCCTGACGTCTTCCCGCAGGAACGCTTGAGAAGGCTAAATCACAGCGTGGGCAAGGAGACTGCCCGGAGGAAGGCCTTTCTTGACGCAAGTAGCAACTACCCCCATAGCTCTCCCAGCAAGTGAGGAAGGCGTCTGAAAGGGGAAAATCTGAGCCTGTGGCGTTTTTGCGGGCATCAAGGACTCCTGGAAAGGGTCAGAGTTGGGCTTCGGACGCAGCCCAGAGGAGGTTTTTGGGACTCGTGTTTGAAGCAGAGGGAAAAACAGAAATGTCTTGAGGCATAGATTGCTGAAATATACTCTTAGCGCGCAACGAGGACTTCTTCAATAGGTCCGGAACAACAGCAAGAAAAAAACGTGGACTGCGATTCTTTTTCCTTCTGGGAAAAAATAAAGTTCAGCGAAAATGAATTCTGTCTTGTAGGCTGCTTTTAAAAAATTGGGGGTAAAGGGGATGGGCAAATGAAAAATGTCCAGAAAGAGCATTTCTGGGGAAGAGTTGAGAACATCCTCTGTAAATTTCCCTTTCCAGTTTCCTCTCCCACTGTTATCTGCTAACGTTAAATTTGCTCCTACTTTCGGGTGAATTCACTGAAAAAGCATAGGAGGTATGGAGTTTCAAACGAGGAGCAACTTGTTCTGACAGCTTCAGAAGGCAGGCCCAGGAAGATCGAAGGTTGGCGTGAAAAATTCAGAAAAATAACCCAGGTTGAGGAAAGTTTAGTGTTCTCTCCGGTAGCGAAGAGGATAGT